TGTGTGTGTGTGTGTGTGTGTGTGTGTGTGTCTCTGTCACACACACACACACACACCCCGATCAATAACGCAAGCTGTAATTTTGACACCAAATCGACACTCACCGCATTAGCGATTTTTGCCACATAATAAAGTTCGTCATAAAAGCTTATAACATGCCTGCCTCGTGCCATCTAGCATCGCTCGCTAATCGAGTGCTGGAGAGAACATGGACTGACCTTGCAGTTGGAGCGTCAGCAGCAGCGGGCCGATGTGCGTGCTTGATGGAGGAGACACATTCGGAGGTAAGAAGTCAAACGTCACGGAATCCGTATGAGATGCAAACAGACAGAAACAGGCCCACGCACGAAAGCATTTGCCCGCAAAGACATAGGCACGCTCGCGCGCACACAGATGCACACGCAGAGAAGGAACTCACCTAGTTCGCCGTTCGATGTGAATACCCCATCAAGAATTGGTAACCGCAGGGTGAAGAGGAGACAGACGCACGGGGAGAAGCAGAACCAGCATAGAGCGGGGCCGGGAGCGAAACACTGCCGACGCTCATGGGCGCAGCGGTCCGGCCTGCTTATGCTCGTCACTCCCAATCGAGATCCATCCGAGGCCAGAAATGAATATCAAGTTGTATTACCGGACGGTGCCGCAATACTCCCTATGAACCGACCACCAAAACCGCCTTCAGTACCGCAAAGTTGGTGCTTCGTTACTAGGGAAATGTGCATCTTTTCTTACCCTGGGAATACCCGCCACACCCGTCCGAGCGCCCAACTGGCATCTGTACCCCGGATATGGTCTGTTCGCAGCCCTTAGGCTGCCGTCTACTGGGGTTCTGCGTCTGTGTCAAGGTGTCGCATTTTTGGCGGCGGGCGACCAGGACACAAAGTGGGTTCTTAGGGGGCAAAAGAATTTGGGGAACCGGTCCTTGCCAAAATTGTGGAATACCTACAGCTAGCTCTGGTAGAACAGGGACTTTTGGAAAAAGGAAGGACCGGTCCTAGGGCGGAAGTGGACCCCAAAAAGAAGTGGGGGGCGTTGGACGGGTCCACTGGTGGAGAAGGACCCCAAAACAAAGTGAGGGCATGTGAACTGCAAAAGGGCCCTCAGGCCCAGGCGTTGAGGCCCGACTTCTCAAAACAGGGAGATCAGGCGCAACGAAACAAACGTTTTGCAAGAGCCACCTTTGGCGATTTTCTGTGCTTGGAGGAACCCGCAGAAAAATCTGAAATTTTGATAATCCATAGATGAGGTCGTGTTCTTTCCAGGAAAAATATTAGAACATTAAAAAAAAAATCATTTACACCGAGAAATAATCGTCGTGCCGATTCGGCACATTTTCCATTTTTACCACTCAGCCATGTGTAGGCCAACTTTAAAAGTATTCGCAATTTGGTGAGTTTTCACTTTCAGAAGAATGCGTGAGAAAACCTTAAAATTGGAGTACTCATAGATTTTGTTACGATATTTTCAGGAAAAACGCCAAATAAATTTAAAAAAAGCATTCCAACCAGGGGCACCAGCCCATACGTACGGAGGTCCCCGGGCAGACCTTCGTACGTACGGGCGTTCGGGGTCCCGTACGGGGTCCAAACCCGACTACATTCGGCCCCCGCCAAAAATTATTTCGGGGCCTGACAATAATTATGTTTTTCTGAATTGTTTTTTGTGAGTTCTCTATGACGTGAGTTACATGCCTGTACATTTTCAAGTCATTTGGCTAAGCCAAGTAAGAACTAAAAATCGTCAAAGATGGCGGTGTCAAAACGTGCTCGCCCACGTATTTTTTCACTTTTTACTTTTTGTTTTCACTTTAGTTCGGGGTCTAAACAATTTTATTATTTTTTGAAACTTTTTTAGTGGGTTTTGTATTTTGTGAAGTACACATCTGTAAATTTTCAGGGCATTTAGCTGTGCCAAAACAAAATGAAAAATCGCCAAAGATGGCAATGTTGAAAACATGCTCGCGCACTCACTAAATCTTATTCTCTTTTTATTTTTATTTATTTTTATTATTAGTATTTGTTTTTCGTATTTTATTTTTAGTTCAAATTTGGTAAGGAATTGGGATGTAATGCTCAGGAAAATCTTGTTTATTTTATTTTTCTCCATATCATATCTTTTTTTCAGAT